CTGTGTGGAGGCTGCCTGGAAGAGCAAGGGATTCCAGCCCCATACCAGACTCCCAGCCCAGGGTCCTAGGCCTCAGAGAAAGAAGTCCCTACAGGCTTAAGAACTACAGACTGTAAAAAGCAGTGCGGATTGGGGCTGAGTGACACAGGCTGCTAGAGACCCAGCTGCTCCACTTAAAAGGCCAGCACTGAGAACTGAATTTACAAGCTCCCGCTTCCTCTGAGCTCCAGTGCTGAGCGAGGCTCTGGGGACCCAGACACATATGGGGAGAAACTGGACTGTCTGGCATCAGGGCAGGAACTCGGGGAAGGCTTTCTTCCAGGCGGAGGTGCTCCCAGTGGTCATTGTTCATTGTTCCCATGCTGGGACCCCCCCAGTGCAGGACTTACTGGCAGCCATTTCTGTTTGCACCGCCCTGCGGATTCCCAGAGACCCTGCCCCACCCAATTTACAACCCCACCCAAGCTGTGTGCAGCTGTTTTTGCATATGAATGGTCTGTCCTTTCTCAGGCTGAAAATCTGTCAAACAAGCTGCAACTGAGTCAGGGAGCCCCAAACCTATCAAGACCCAGCATCAGCACCAGCCTGCCTTGCTTCACAGCTGGGCCTCATCTGGGCACTTCCAAACGCAATACAAAGAGGAGGAATATTTAGATATTTCTGTAGCTCCTGTTGGATGGCCCCAGGCAGTGGCTGACTTTGTACCTTCCTGAAGACCTAAGAGGCAGTATACCCAGTGGTTAGTGTGAGACCATACCAGATTACACCTCTTCACATCCATAAGTGACACACTCAAGGGGCAGACTCAGTGAGCACCAAAGCCCCACTGAAGCAAGACCTGCCCCATAAGGGTGTCTCCTGCACAGCAGCTCTCCCACTGTAGTCGCAGCTGGTCCCCACAGCCAATTGGCCTGGAGGTCAATTCCTCCCAGTGATACCAACAGTAATCAAGGCTCAACTACAACAAAACGGTGCATACAGTCCACAAAGGGGTGCACCAAGAGTGTCCACCTCAGGTGACTGGGGAGGTTGAGCCACTGGGCCCTATAGGACACCTACTACACAAGACCACTCTATCAACTTAAGGGGACTTAGCAGCTACCCAATACATAGAACAAACACAGGGAAGCAGCCAAAATGCAGAGACAAAGAAACATCTCACAAATGAAAAAAATGGAAGAAAGCAAACTACTGGATATAGAGTTCAAAACCACAGTTATAAGGTTACTCACAAATCTTCTAGAAACCTCTGAGGAACTTAGTGAGACTTTCAACGATCTTAGTGAGAATGCCAAAAAAAAGAAAAAAAAAAGAAAAGGAGCAGTCAGAAATTAAGAATACACTATTTGAAATGAAGAAGAATATACAGGGATTCAACAGTAGACTAGAAGATCCTGAGAATCAAATCAACAATATGAAATATGAGGAAGCAAAAAACACCCAACCAGAAGAGCAAAAAGAAAAAGAATCCAAATATAGTGGA